TCATTTTGTTGGATAGGACCCATTGTTCAAGTTTGTCAAGATCTTTTTGGATCCTGAGTTTGTCTTCTGGGGTGTTGGCTATTCCTATCAGTTTGGTGTCATCTGCAAATTTGATGAGTCCCCTTCAATTCCCTCATCTAAGTCATTTATGAAGATATTGAAGAGTACTGGGCCTAAGACGGAACCTTGTGGTACCCCACTGTTTACTTCTCTCCATGTGGATGTAGTACCATTGAGGACTACTTGTTGAGTACAGTTTGTTAGCCAGCTACAGATCCATCTGGTGGTGATGTCTATTCTACCTTTTCCTAGCTTACCAAGGAGTAGGTTTTGGTCTAACTTGTCAAATGCCTTACTGAAATCTAAGTATACTACATCCATTGCATTGTGCTGGTCTACTAGTTTAGTCACTTTATCAAAGAATGAAATGAGATTGGTTTGGCATGATCTGTTTTTAACAAACCTGTGCTGGCTACTAGTTATGACTTTGTTTGCTTATAGTTGTTCGCAGATCTGTGTTTTTATTATCTTTTCTAGGATCTTCACAATACATTATTAGTATCCATCCATCTATCCATCCATCCAACTCTACCTATGCAGAATACACTAAAAGTCCTTATAGACCAATAATTTATTCTACCAAAGAAAGATGAAGGTGGTTTTACAACATGAGTGATTTGTTCTAATGAGTTGCAGGAAACCTAACCGTGCTGATATGTCAACTATAGGAAGGGTTGATATTAGGCTGTGGTGTATACCTATTAAACAGTCATATGTTTAATGTGACATGCATATGAACCTCATAATTATTGCTTCTTTAGCCAATTCCTTTTCTCTCTCACACATCAGTGATTTTAGTTTAATCTTCCATAAAAAAGGAGACTTCAATGTGAAATTCCTAAAGTAGAATTTAGCAACAATTTGATTGGATTAGTTTAGGTTTTAATTATAACAGTGGCTTTCTTTCTAGCTCAGTAGTTCTTAAACTGTTTGACCCAATTACCTTTTTTCCCAGTCTTGTATAATGTCATTAGCTCCACAAAACCCCCAGACTCTTGTTTTTCACGAGTGCTTGGTAGCAGCAATCCCAAACTGGATCCTCAACGTACAAAGAATTTAATACAAATTACCTATTGCCCCCAGGATGTACCAAAAACATCCCCTTGTTCTTGTGGTTTGGAAGATAGTGTTACTGTACATGGATTACCATTTTGTAGACATTTGAGCTTTCCTAGCAATGCCTTCGAATTATGTCCAGAGGCAGAAATAAAGATATAGCAAAAGAAAAGAGGTAGAAGTTCCAAGTCACAGATTTTGAAGAAAAGCAAACCATACCTTTAATTGGTAGCAAGGCATAGCAATCTATGATAACTCCAAGGCAACTTTTGATGAACTGAAGAGAAAACCAGGTACTATAGCTAACTGCTACGGGCAGTGTATTTCTTTAGCCCTGTTTCTACTTACTGTAAGCACAAAGAGTTCCACACTGAAAGATGGTCCTAACTTCCTGTTCTTTTTTTCCTTCTGTATTGTTGCTGCTGTATATTTCAGATTCCTAAGGATTGTCCATCTGACAAACCGTTTCGGTCTATAACAGTGATGGCGAACCTTTTAGAGACCGAGTGCCCAAACCGCAACCCAAAACCCACTTATTTATTGCAAAGTGCCAGGGCAGCATCAGCATTTTGGTGCCCTCGGGGGGGGCAGGGAGGCACCTCTGAGTGCTGCCTCTGGCATGCAAAACCCGGGGGCACAAAAATGGGCCACTGTGCTGCAAGGTGCAAAAATGGCCACCGCCGCACCATGGGGTGCAGATACAAGGCGCTGCACCACGTAAGCACGGGGCAGGGCTAGTGAGTATCACGTAGGCACTAGCCCCACCCCATTTGCAGCGTGTGCGTGCTCACGTCCCCCATGCACGCATGTAAAATGCTTTCCCCTCCCTTTTCTTCCAGTCCTCCAATCGACAATGGTTGGTGACCTCTGCTCTACCACCTCTACTTGAGCTTGCTAGTTGGCCGCTTCTCCTCCTTTGTACTGGGCGGGGCTCCTGCTCTGGGCAGTGGGGGCAGCCTGATGGACCTGCTACTGGCAGCAGTGGCGTGCGTGCCAACAGAGAGGGCTCTGAGTGCCGCCTCTGGTATGCGTGCCATAGGTTTGCCATCACTGGTCTATAAACTCTTTAGGTAACAATGAACAGATTGTAATAAAGACTTTCCTTGGGATAGGGTAATTGCGTTGTTTGTGTAAGTAAAGTTTGGTTTTATAATTGGTTGTATTGACTCTCTGGTTGGCTATGAGCTCTATTTTAATTTACTAGTTTGTAACGTGCCCAGAGTGGTTAAGGGGTTGGATGGCCTCAAAATTAGAAAATAAATAATTTCTCCCCCCACGACCCCCTCACGGGCAAGGTGATTTTATGAACATCAGTTTTAGTCTTCAGCCTATTTATATGTAGTAATTCCAATGAAGTCAGCAGGGACCTTCTCAGAAGCAAGCTTTTACATAATTATAGTTCGATTATCCCTTTTCTGTGTGATTTCTTAATCCCTATTTTATAACAGGTCCTCAAAATATTCTCATTCTTGCAGACTGGTTTAAGTAAATGAAGGTTAATGGGATTCTACAACCATCACAAGCCAACACCGAAAAGTACCTCAGGCTATAGTTACACAAACAACTCCCTAAACTGAAGATTTTAATATGCTTCCTATCTGCTTCTTAGTCAGCAGCTAAACAATTAACACAGTTGGCTTTGAAGCTGCTCTTCTTTTCTTTTAATTGCTATCTTTCCAAGCAGCCCCGAAAAGGGAATATAATTTATATTGTTTGTTCCTTTTTGTGAATGTTGTGTTCATCCCTTGAAGTAGGTAAGGGGCTTGAGTAACCAAGGCCAATGAAAAAAAAAATATGGGAAATTGGATTTCTCCTTTCAAAACTTTTTCTAGTCTGAGCTGCTGTTTCATGTATTTTTCTATGCTGGTGTGTAATAGACTATGAAATCGGACATGACCGATTGATCACTGAGCATTGATTACCAGGAAAATGAACAGAATGTAAAGAAAACATCCAGAGCTGTGAAAAGAGACTGTTCATTTCACTTTACAAAGTGAATTGATTTACTTAGCAGTTCAGCAAGAAGACGGAAAGTGTTTGCATCCTAATGAAGTAAGCAGTAGCATTACAAGGCAATGAAGTGGACAGGAAGGCTGAGAAGATAACTTGGTCGGTCTCCATTGCACGATCGTTCCAACTAGTGCCTCTGTCCTATCAGTCAGCTTATCATTTTTGGGGGGTATTCTTTGGATTTACTGATCCCAGCAGCCATCAAATTATGATTTACAGTCGTGTCAGGTGTAAAAATAGATTTAAGTTGTTCAGAGGAAAACGAAGCAATTAACAGCGCTGAAGACCATGAGGTAATTTCAAGGGACCAGTTTTGATGTATTTATTCCAAGAGATCATGAGCATGGTAAGCAGGAGAGTAATATCTGAAGTTATTTTCAATGTGCAAAGAGGAAAACATTCTTAATTACAAATCCAGTTTTTAGCATGAGTCCTGCATTCTGATATAAATTGCTCATAGTGTAATAATATTTATATTTGGTATAATGATATTTCCAATCTCTTCATTACTCTAATCTATAAAGGCACTTTGAATAAAATAGGTTCTAAAGGAAACAATATAGCTAAACAGTCATTACACAGAGATTATGGTAAATTTTAATAATTTTAAAACATTACTCCTGAAGGCATTCTTTTTCCAAAAAGGAAATCTCTCTTTTCCCCTTTATGAATTTTCCATCTGGGAAGTTGGAAAATATTCTGGAAGAAAGCAATGGCACATCACCTCTGTAGCGTTGCCAAGAAAACTGTACTAATTTCCATGTGACCAGAAGAAATCAATTCTTATTTGAGATCATCCTTACTTTATTGGTTATGCTGGTAATTGCAGCCTTGGACAGAAATCAAGGAAAAGGTAAGAAAACTTGTTTTTGTGTGTGTGTGTGTGTGTGTGTGTCTTTGTCTGTGACTGTGTGGTTGTACACATATACATATAAAAATAAATGTCTTTTTGCAGGGATCCTCACAAGGGGATCCTCTTTATGCATCATGTTGTCAGCTTGTGGATTTAACTGCCTCAAGATGATCTGAAAGTAGCTTAAATGAAATGATAGCTGATAGAACCCAATGCAATGGAGAGGGGATAATTTTCAGAAATGGGGCTATGTGCAAATATTAAATTATTAATTTCTTGATGCTCTCTTTGGGAGCTCTCTAGTAAAAGAATGGAAAGGAATACAAAGCTCTGGTTTTAATAGGACTCTTAATTTCTAGATGAATGGATGGATGCACAGAAGTGTTCCTTGGCAATTGTGACCAAACAGGTTATATTTTAAAACTATTTATTAATTTGACAGGATGCTTGCTTTTGTTACAAAGTTAGAAACAGGGTCCTGTCTAATTTTTCCACTATAAATATTTTTGCCGGGGGTTTTTTGTTCACCAAAGCTGCTGGTTTTCATAGAATTTCATGAAGTTATAGAGTAGGACATATTCCAAAATACAGATATTTACAGTAGTCATTGGCCGCACCATCACGGCAATCATTTTTTTTTTCAGTTTGTTCATCCAGAAATTGTTGAACCAACACCCAGAAGCTTCACTGAACTAAGGGAAAACTTGCCAAAGATGTTTTCTCAAGTTATTTTCTTGGTCCAGGCTCAAACTCCACTTATCTGACCATCTCCTTGATAGCAGTCCTCCTCCTGATCTTTAAGGCCATTCCCCATGTCCCCTACACCGCTTTAGATGATGCCTCCTTTTTGTAACAATGGGGCCTATCCTTTACTCATTCTTTTATTTTAATGCCTGTCAAGTGAATTAAATAGAACTGCAGGCAATTTAAGTAATACCCTTTAAAAATGCTGGTACTTACACAAATATGTAAATGGGTCTCTGAGCGATGCACTTCTGTTTTATTTCAAAGGGATGATCTCATGACTATGGGGGACTGGAATTTGCTGGGCAGCATCTTAGAGGAAGTTCATCTCCATTCCACCATCGTGGGCAAAATCTGGCTCACCATCCTCTTCATCTTTCGCATGTTGGTTCTCGGTGTGGCTGCCGAAGAAGTCTGGGATGACGAGCAAGAGGAGTTTGTTTGCAACACCGAGCAGCCGGGTTGCAACAACATCTGCTATGATAAAGCTTTCCCCATCTCCCTGATCCGCTACTGGGTGCTCCAGGTCATCTTTGTCTCGTCTCCTTCGCTTGTTTATATGGGCCACGCCATTTATAGACTGCAAGCCCTTGAGAAAGAGAGGCAGTGGAAGAAAGCTCGCCTCAAAGAGCAGCTCAAAGAGATAGAACCTATCATGGGAGATCATCGGAGGATAGAGAGGCAGCTGAAGAAGCTGGAAGAACAAAAGAAAGCAAGCAAGCCTCCCTTGCAAGGGGCTTTGATGTGGACCTATATCCTTCATATCTTGACCCGATCGGTCTTAGAAGTGGGGTTCATGGTGGGCCAGTATCTTTTATATGGGTTTCAAATGCATCCGCTGTATAAGTGCACCCTTCCACCCTGCCCCAACACTGTGGACTGCTTTGTGTCCAGACCAACAGAAAAAACAATCTTCATGGTCTTTATGCAGAGCATTGCAGCCGTTTCACTCTTTCTGAATATCTTGGAGATTGTTTATTTGGGGATTAAGAAGATTAGAAACACCCTTTGCAGGAAGTCCAAGAAGAAGCTAATGACGGCAGAGGAGGACGTTATCTTTAATTTCCCCAAGAAAAATTCAATGATCCAGCAGATTTGCAACCTGAGTGATTCATCCTACCAGGATAGTTACAAATTTAGATCAGAGGAACAAGGGAGACTACCCGTCTCCTTGAATCTTGAAGAAGGATATATGCTTACTGAACAAAACCAGCACCCGGGCAATGGGGAGCAACAGTGGCGCAGAAACTGCAGGAGCTGGCCCAGTCAGTATCAAGACCAACCACATCCTTCTTATGGGCATCTCGGATATCCCAATGGGAACGGACAGCATCAACACAGGCTGTTCCCCAGGCATTATACAAACTTCATGAGTCAATGCCATAACGATGAGCATCTGATTGCGCCCTGCAGCACCGACAACATTCCAGTGGAAGCAGGGCAGGCTGTCGACCTCTACAGAAAGCATGACTCCAACGCCTCAGATGAATCCAAGACCCTTCCACATGCTTCTAAAATTTCCATAGTATCCAACCCCAGGGAGAGCCCTCAAGCAATCTTTCGGAAGCAAAGCTGGGAAGTTGGCAGCAAGGACTTAGGAGATGATAATGGCAGCTCTCCAAACACCATGCCTTACCAGAACCACAACGCCAGCCTTTTACCCAGAATGCTGTCCGAGAGCCAGCTGGATATCAACTCAGTGACCTCAGATTCACAGAATGGTTCAGTCTTGGAAGCTAAATGGCCAGAGGACAGCAGCCCTCCTATCACACATTCATTTTCCTCCACAAGGGGGCGCAGAATGTCAATGGCAAGTAAACCCAAGCAACCTTTCTGCTATACTGCTATATTCTGCTATACTATAGTGTGAGTTGAGTTATTGTTCTTTAGTATCCTTTTAGCCTAGGGCCAGGGGTAGGCAACCTTGGCTCTTTTATGACTCGTGGACTTCAACTCCCAGAATTCCTGAGCCAGCATGGCTCAGCTTGGAACCTCTCCCTTTCCCCTCAGCATGGCTGGCTCAGGAATTCTGGGAGTTGAAGTCCACGAGTCATAAAAGAGCCAAGGTTGCCTACCCCTGGCCTAGGCCTTGCGCTTAGGGGTTTGTCTGTAAAAACGTTCAAACATGGAAGGTGGAGAGATAGTGCGGTTCCTTCAAATCAAGGCAAGTGTTTGAAAAATGTACTTGTTTTGGTAGAAGCGCATTATTTATATAATACTAAATAAAATCAGCTGAGTGTTATTTAAAAAAAATGGGTGGGGGGAGAGAAATAAGGCAAGAATAACTCAGTTTTAAAATGTTAGGACAGTTAATGTGCGGGATACAGCTTCAAAATCCAGGATTTCTGTCATGTCCAAGTTGCATCTTAAAAGGTATATAACAAGTTAAATACTTTTGTAAAGTATTTGTTCTAATGAAATTTTATTACAAGTTGAAACAAGCGCAAACTGTATCAAAAGAGTACCAAGTTTGTTTATCACAGCATAAATTCACACATTGCTTGATAAAGCTTTTAAACAATTAATTGCACAGACCTTTCTAAACTATATGCAGGTAAGACTAAGTTTCTATTTTGGATTGCTGAAATGATTTCAGCCTGGGTGCTTTTTTAAACTCCTCTTAATTTAAATCAGACATGTCAAACTCGCAACGTCACGTGACATCGCGCAACGTATCGGGACGGTTTTGCCATTGCCGGCAATGGGGTGGGCGTGGCTTCCGGATGACGCATCCGGCCTGCGGGCCGGCAGTTTGACACTCCTGATTTAAATGTATATCTTTCTTTTCTTCTAATATTTATTTAATTTCATGTTTGTTCTGTCTTATGTGCATGTGCTATATTTGACATGAACTCTCTGCATGTCTGAAAGAGGATATAGAGAAAAAAATAGATAAGAGGACATTTTATGCTAAGAATGTATATTTTGTTTCCCCATTCTGCCCAGACAACTTTTGTTGGAACTGAAAACTATAGGTTCAAGATGGTTTAATTTGCATTTTGAGGCCCAGAGTCCAAATTTGAATTATACTCAGGTTTTTGAGCAAATAACTATCTGCATACTTCACCGTTTGCTTGTCTGTTATACACAGGTAGTCCTCAACGTATGACCACAATTGAGCCCAATTGCTTTTATTTTTAACTATCATTATATCAGTAGTCTTTGGTCCTTTCCACATAATGCTAGAACCCAGGTTCACCCAAGTAAATTCAGACGATGAACGATTCAGTATTGATGGCAGATTTTGTTATTTTAATATCTGTATAACTATTTTGTCAGAACAGCAAGATAGCCTATGGCCTCTAACTTAGCTAGCTTCCAAAGGCAAGTTAACATCATCCTGGGTTCCAACAACATCATGGATCAATTGTGACTCAACGGTGTCTTACTGTGTAATTCTCACACACGGGGCCAAAATGGGAATGAGTCCCACTTGTTGGGAAGCAATGGACAGGAGAGTGGCAGTACCTGTGTCTGGCCACTATGAGCAATGGGAAACGAAGCTAGAATAATCTTGATTTGATCAAGCAGGTGGGTTCCCCTTCTGAAGAAGAAGAACAAAGAAAGTCCAAATGAGTAACTGACTAAAATAACCTTCAAAGCTATTTAGCTTTTGTTTGTCCTCGAAGCTAACTCGGCCTCTCCCCGTTTTCTCTTTCAGAATGTGCTCTTAGAGCTCTCTTCCATCATGAAAAAGTAATACTAGTATAACCGTGATGTTACAGAACAGCAAGAATCTCCCCTTGCCATTAGCACATCATTGCCAATATGAAGCTGAATTATTTCCTATTTCTCCTCCGATCTGATGTGGAAGCACTTGAAGGCAGATATTTAAGAATTCTAGAACTTCTATTTTCTGGGCAGTTCTGTTGCAGTTCTCTGCTGCTGGCTGAGATTGAGCCATAACTGTCTCGTTCAGGTTGGACTGTCTTCTCTCCTGCATAAGTAGGAGAAGCTTCCGTGGACATAAAAGAACTTTATTTCCTCAGTGAAGACCATGGAAGGGAGGGATAACTTGATTTGTAGCACTGCCACCTTCTTATCCAGTTCAACATGTAACTTCAAGGCTCTGCTAAGACACAAAACTTCAATAAAGATGGGCGAAGGAAGAGGAGACTGCTTCCTTTCCTCCTGTCTCTGGACTTGATGAATAAACAATGAAAGCTCCTCACTAGAACTTTCCAGCACTATGTTGCATATTAACAAAGATGTTTAAATCCAACCTGGGTACTGTATGTGCAATGTGTCTCTCTCTTCCCAGACCCTTCAATGTACTAGTCTTATATTTTTCAAAGGGCTGTAAGTATTACTTTGTTTCTTGGCAGCTTCCAAATATATAGTTATGGGCTGAACAGTTTTAATTTTTTAAAGAGGGAATACTCCTCCTGCTACAAGATTTCCTACAAGATTTCCAAAGACGCAATTGACATTTTTTTTTCTACTTTGGCGGCTTCCAGCATAAGCACTTTCATAGCCCTTTTTTGCTGCTGCACATATATATGTAAGTGTTTTTTTTATGATGCACCCGGTCGGCCCAAATATGGGAAGAAGAAATCTTTTGCCTGTATCAGCCCCAATGTAGGGCTCTCCACAGGCAGCAGTCGCTACTGTGACAATCATTTTTGTGTTAAATTTGGATTGCTAACAAGGATTTAAAGGGAAGCTGGTATAGCTATTTCGAGCTCCTTAGCTCTCATCAGCCAGCTACACACTTCTGAGATTCGAACCTGGGCTGCTTGCATGTTAGGCAGCTGTGTTGACCTCTAAGCCACAGGCTCTTTCTCACTTTGTCAGCTGTGTCAGGGAGGGAAGAGACTGGGGGAGGAGATATGTAAGTGGTGTTTTTTTTATGATGTACCCGGTCGGTCCAAATATAGGAAGAAGAAATATATATATGTTGAGAAAAATAGTTGAACACCGGGATAAATATAAAAACAACTGTTTAATAAACTAACAACTGTTTGATAAACTTAGTTTTCGTCGGCTAACTGACCTCTTTGCCTGCTTTGGACATATCTGGGTACACGTTGCTATAGGATGGTCCCCCAGTGCCTCCTGTCCTAAGAGAGCGACAAGAGAGGCAATGATCCCCGAGCTTACGAGTATACAGATCGATGCGAGACTATTCGAAGTAATACGGTCAACTGGTGTGGGTAGACCGGTAACGCATTCTATGAGCAGAGCGCAAAAACTGCCGGTCTTATAAGCAGGCTTTCGAACCTCCGGCATTCACGTCAGCTATATATACACTTTCTTATTGAAAAGTGTGAACACTGCCAGTTAGAGAGGTAAACAGGAAAGCTGCTCTTAATAAGGTAAACTCAAATTACCTGAGGAGCATGACTTAAGGAAAGGGCCTCTATTGTAAGAAAGGAAACGATCATTACAGATAGTCCTCGACTTATGAGCACAATTGAGCCCATTTCTGTTGTTAAGTGAGACATTCATTAAGTTTGCCCCATTTTACAACCATTCTTGCCATATTTGTTAAGTGAATCACTGCAGTTGATAAGTTAGTAACCTGGTTGATAAATGAATCTGGCTTCCCCACTGACTTTGCTTATCAGAAGGCCGCAAAAGGGGATCACATGACCCTGAGGCGCTGCAACGGTCATAAGTATGAACCAGTTGCCAAGCATCGGAACTTTGATCACATGATCATGGGGATGTTGCAAAATCGTAACTGTGAAAAAAACAGTCATAAGTCACTTTTGTCAGTGTGATTGTAACTTTGAATGGACTGTTGTAAGTCGAGGACTACCTGTATAAGGCTAGCCTTTTCCTTTATATTTTTGACTTTCTTTTCAATGCATCTCTTCTCCTTTTCCTGAATTCTCTTTCTCTCTCTTGTGTTTGCTCCATCGCACTCTTCTCTCTTCCCCTCAGGTAGCTGTGCCCTCATTTTTCCCCACAATTCTTCCATACAGGTGGTCCTCAATTTACGACTGCCATTGGGACTGAGTGCAAGTCATTATGGTTCTAAGTTGACCAGAGGTGATTATAAGACATTTTTGCCATAGTCGTGAGGTGAATCACCGCAGTCATTAAACAAATGCCATAGTTTTAGGCGTAAACCCGTTCTTCAAGTGGAAGAAACTACACACAGGACAGTGTGATCAATCATAAAGGTGAGCAGATTGCTAAGTATCCAAAATGCAGTCATGTGACCATGGGGGAATGGGCAGCACAACTTTTTACAATGACCAGAAGTGCTTCACTGGCCATAAAGCACCCATTCTATGCCCCTTGTAATTTCAAATGGTCATTAAGCAACCAGTTGTAAGTGAAGAACTACATTGTTCCTTCAGTATCTCTTATAACTCATTTTCACCCCCTAGCTCTAGAGGTTATCAGGTAGAATGGATAGTCATGGGCCAGAAGACAACCTGGTAGAGGGAACCTACTATTGGGCACCTCTGAACCCTCACAAATATCATGGGCTTTCACCAGTGTTCAAATATGGCCATGAATATAAGGGGAAAGGCAGCAAACTCAGAATTTCCCATAGAGTTGGGATTGGAGAAGCCAAGAGGTGAGCAGTTACCTTTTTATGCCTTGGCTGGAAGAGTCTCCTTGAAAAAGATTAAAACTTGAAAGTATTTTCCCTCTTTTAAATATGTATTTCTAAGGCCAGTCTTGATAACAGGGCAACTAATTCTGAAGTGCAGGTCAACTAATTCTGAAGTGCAGGGCAACTAATTCTGAAGTGCTGGCAGTCATACCTACAAACAGAATTCATAGTTGGGTATCCAAATTATTTAGATTTCTAAATAATTGCTCTTTTGTCATTTGTACACCTGTTAACTATACCGAAGGCAGCTAGCTATCTCTCCTTTTTCTATATCTGCATTTTGTAACAGTATTTTTAAT